TAAATGGAAATATATATACATGAAAAATCCTAAAAATTAACTGATCAGTGGTAGGCTTTTCTGTGAATGGCAATGGAGAAGAAACAATATTGGGGCGTATTCTCTCTTATGTTTGCGTTAGAAGCTTTTAACCGCGTTATACGTGGATATCCTTGAAGTTGCCCAAGATAGATACAAGCCCCTTTTTTGTTTTCTAAGCTGTGTGATTTGTTCAAGAAAAGCTTTACTTGTTTACTTTCTTCTTTTTAGTCAAGAAAAATTTCAGGATTTCGAAGAAATTTCCCAACCTCCATTTTAAAAATTTTTACTCGTAATGATCTACCAATCTTCGATAGGAAAAGCTTGAAATTAGCTTTGATCAGCCTTGAGCAGTGTGAAATTAAAATCATTTACGGTCTTAAAGGTTATTCCTAGCCCATTTCCTAAAAAGAGTTGGTCCCTCCCTTCCAAAGTGCTTTATTCTTAAAGCGTCTCGATAAATTTCATGGTTTTTTTTTCCTCTGTTTTAAGAAATTTCCGAGAAATGCCAACTCATACATGCCAAGAATACGGACAATTTAATTAGCATAGTTAAATCTCATAATTAAACCGTGGTTAATTACAAGATTTAAATAAAAATCCCACATTGAATAAACAATTATTTAATCCATTTATATAAACGAAAAGTAGATAATATAATTTCTATTCGTAGAATTGCTTTCGTTCAAGTGGGGCATGAATGATGATTTAACCAAGTTGATCGAAGCAACCTTTGACCCAGCATGTTGCCTAGTATTTGAGATTTGGACTGTTCCCTCAGAAGCTGGGGCGGATTGATCCCATCCTCCATGGATGTGTAGTAAAATTTTCAGATTTTTCTTTATTAATTTAATTGCTCAGCAAAAAATATTGGTGTTGTGTAAGTCTACCTACTTGATTAATTGATCATAATGAAGACTGATTAACTGCCATGTTTTATATTCCACTTTGAAATTATTGATAATGAGGCTTAATTTGTAGCAAAAATTGTTTTGAAATCATGAACAAAGTCGTTTGTGTCCAAGATGAGATTTCCAAGATTATTGTGCCCACTATATTTCCACACACTCCCCGATGTTAAACAAAGATTCGACTTCCTTTTGCTTTTAGGCGTTTGAAATGTAACTAATTCAAACTTCTTAGTTATAAATCATAAGCTTATCTTCTTTATAGAGAGAAATAAAAAACTTTTGTCAACTAAGCATTATTTCAGATTTCAGATGGCATGATATGATCTGGTTCATAGTTATAAAGTTCATATTAAATGTTTATTTGTAAAAAGTGTACAACCATCAAACAAATTCTCAATAAAGGAAAAAGGTAATTAAACTTACTAATAATTCTATTTTTTGTTTTGGCAGTAATCTCAAAACCTCTAACTATAGTACTTGCTGCTATTTCAAGAATCAACACTCTCCAAAACGTTTTCGGACGTATGAAATGTAGCTTGTTGCCCTCTCATCAACATTCTCGTCATCAGCCCAAGTAGAATTTTTATTACCATTCCGGTTAATGAAATTAGCAGAATTAGAAGAGGAAGATGATGATGAGGACATCTTTTGCATTGAGGAATAAACTGCCCGATTCTGATGCGTAAATTCCTTGGGATAGCTGTTTTGGTGAGGCTGTGAGCTTGGACCAACCTTGCTGCTACCATATTGCTGATAGGAATTTGGCTTAGCAACAAAAGCGAAAGACTCATAACTGGCTGTCTTATTTTTGGAAATCCCCATTTACCTGAGACTTGCTTCAGACTTTGAATCGGATTTCTAACTCTTAGAGGGAGATGTTTAGTTATGCATGACTATTGTGCATCTCCTCTATATATAGAGTTTGTTCAATTCTAAAAATCAACTGAGTGATAGCCTTTTGTGTGAATGGGGAAGAACGAATATATTCTGTCTGGTTTAGTGTTAATTAGAGCTTTCGACCCTGTTAGTTGTGGACTTCCCTGCAGTTGCCAGGAAAGACACATGCCCCTTTTTTCGTTTGAAGGTATATATGTGATTCGTTCTATAGGAAATTTTGAAACCCCTTACTAAACTTTCAGTCGTGATAATGTACTAATCTTTGATGGGAAAAGCTTGAAATTAACTTTGATGAGAATAATTGAACAAAACACTTCATGCCTAAACGCGTTATTTAATGCTCTCAAATTCTTAAGAAATGTGATATTAAACTATATATTCATTGCCTCAAAGGGACAATGAATTGTGTTACAATCCTGAGAAAGGACTCCATTTTCAGGAATGTAAACCAAATTACTCAAGCTCGGCAACACCTAGAACAGAATCTCATAAAATTCCGCATCTAAAAATGGAATCAAACTAGGATTGGTTGTGTAAGGTGAAGACCAAGACCATGGATATTCAATTTTGGCAATTGCCAGCCCATTTCCTATGGTCCCAAGGTGCTTTATTCTTAAAGTGTTTTGATAAATTTTAATGGTTTGTTCTCTATTATAAGAATCAATGTTTTACAAAAAAATATTCGATTGAACCATCCATGATTTGGCTCTTTCCCTGCAGGGACGGACAGTCATAGAGACCAGTTCTTATTGGAGATTAGGCTATCAGATCACTACTAGCTGTAATTTCACTCTTGCTTGAATTTTTCATCTCTTTTATTTAAGAAAGGGTGAAAAGAATTCTAAATGTTGGGATATGAATTCAGACTTATTAAATGTTACATTTTAAAAATTATTGTATAAAAGGATAAAGTAAACAATAACGGTAATAAGTTCAACTGCAATGTAAAAGCAGAAATTTCATTTCAATTACTACACATGACAATTAGAAATCTCTATTATATATACAAAGTTTGATCAAATTCTGAAAAATACCAAAGTGATATGTTGGCGTTTGTGTGAATTGGAAAGAAATGGAATTTGCAATTTGGGATATATTCTTTCTGTGTGTTTATGGTAACAGCTTCAAACCGTGTTTAATTGTGGATTTCCTGGAAATTGAATTTCAGGGTGGCATTATTTGATCAAGCTTGGTAACACCTAGAACAGAATCTCTTAAAATTCAGGGTTAAAAATGGAACCAATTTAGGACTTGATTGTGGAAGGCGAAGGGATATTCAAATTTGGCTGTTGCTTGGCCATTTCCTAAAAAGATATGGTCCCATCCCAAGGTATTTTATTCTGAAAGAGTTGGGATGCATTCCATGGTTTTCTCTTGTTCTAAGAATTTTCGAGGAATAGTGGTACGTTCATGCATAGCTATTTAAAGATTTGGATTCCTTATTCAAATAATAATAATAATAATAAAAGACAATAACCAACATTCCAGCGTATTGATCTTGATGCAGTTAATATATATATATATATATATATATATATTTACAAAAAAAATCTCAATGTAATGTAAAGTAAGAGAATGGATTGTAAATATTAAAATTTAAAGAAAAAAATATAATTAATGTAATTTATTAATACTGATTTCATATTAAAATAAAGTTTGAGTTTAAATAAAATAGGGTTTGTTTGTTTCGTGAGAAATTACTTTCAAAAAATGATTTTTGAAAAATAATTTTTATATTTTAAAATGTTTATTGGATAAAAAACTAATTGATCAACAAAAAATAACTTACTAATCAATGAAAAATTAGATTATTTTTTAAAAATTATCTTACTGATTTGTAAAAGAGAAGATATTTTCCAAAAAAGACTATCAATAAGTAAAACTATTTATCAATACTTTTGGAAATAATTTTATTTATAAATAATATTATATTAATAAAAAATATTATAGTATAATATATTAATAAATAATATTATTAATTTAATTAATAAATATTATAATAATATATTAATAAATAAAATATTATTAATAAATAATATTATTAATTTAATATATTAATAAATTATATTATAATATATTAATAATTAATATAAAGAATAATAAATAGTTTTATTTTAAGTATTTTTATATTAAGATAATATTTTAATATTAATTATTATTATTAAAATATAATTATTGTTTAATATGAATAATTTTAATAATAAATATTTTTAATATATTTTAATAATAAATTTTTTACAATATTTTAATAGTAATATTAATATTATTTTTAAAAAATAAATTTTTAAAAAAAAATTAAATAACAAAAAATATTTTTCATTAACTCATTTAAATAACAAAAAATTTCTTTCAATTCAAAAAATATAAATATTTTCTTAAAAATTATTTTTAAAAATTATTTTTTACGAAACAAATAGAACCGTTTCACATAATAAACTAGAAAAAAAAATTAAATATCTTCGGACATCAAAATAACGGAAGATCAAAGCTCACTTATATATGCTAAACGATTTTAACCAAATAAAAAAAAATTTAATCATTATATTTTATAATATTATGTATGATTAAGGTTTCAAAATTTTTCTATTTTTAATTTGCGGACATAATGTGTACAATATCTCCAATAACATGATTCCTTTGACCTTTCCAGCTCATGCATCTTTTTAATTGCTTGGAATAAAAAAATTCCAAAAGTCAGTTAAATAAGCATATTTTAATTTTATTCAATTGAATTAGAACTTTGATATAATAACCTAATAACTTGTACACGAGTCATCTTTTATTATCAAAATAAATATAGTAATTTTGGAAAGAAAAAAGTTACTTTAAATTGTATTGTTTTAAGACTTAAGAGATAAAAAAAAAAAAAACCAAAAACACAGGGAAAAATATGAAATATGTGTATCCATAAGTCATTTATTAGTGTAAAATGTCTTAATTTAAAAACTCCAATTTTTTATAACATCTATTTGAATAAAAGTTATCATCAATTATTGAATTAAATATGGGGACACAGATTCAATTTATTTTCTTAAATTCAAACATTAGATTTTGAAATTTAAAGTTTCATATATACTTAATTAAAAAAAAAAAAAGAGACAATAAAGATACCCAATTTTGTTTTCTAAAACAGTTTCTGATAACGCTAACAAAAGAAAAATAAATTTAATTTCATTGGTCAAAAAAAAAAAAAAAAAGGAGATAGAAAGCACCCCAAAAATCCACGCTTTACTTTATTCTTGAAAAAAAGGCCTTGAAGAACACTGAAACAAAACGAGTTAAACTGTGTACAGTTAAAACACTCTGCCTCTAGATCTCTGTCTCCCCCTTCTCTCCCTTTCAAACCAAACCAAAAAAATTTCTGACAAACTGTAAAGAAACATGAACCCGATGCCCATCTGCTCTTCATCTTCCTCTTCTTCTTCTTCGTCGTCTTCTTCTTCAACAGCTAAAGCTTGGATAGTTCACAGCATTTTAGCCGGCACAGCAATTGCTGCAGCCATTGGTGTACGTGCTTATCTGGGTCGTGCCAGGAAGTTCCGGACCCGGGTCGTGGGCATTATACCCGCCAGGTTTGCCTCTTCTCGGTTCGAAGGCAAGCCTTTGGTTCATATCCTTGGAAAACCCATGATCCAGGTACCCTTTTGGTTTAAGTCCCCTGATTTTATCTAAATTTTCAACTTTCTATATGCCCTTTTTCTTGCATTGTTTTTGTGTTTTGGTTTTCTAAGAAATTTGGTTTGGATTTTGGATAAATGTGAATTAGGAGATAAAGGAGTTAATTTTTAATTTCTAATGTTTTGAATGTTTGAACAGAATATCAGAAAAGCAAAAGATCCAAATTTTCATGTGCAAGCATATTATAGTTTTATTTTGCAATCACCCATTCTAATAAATATTAAAATTTTGTTACATTCCTAGGAAAATCAAAATTCCATATTTGGGAAAGATGAATAATATAAGAGAAGCGTTTAAATTTGTTTGTGATCTTATGTAGGATCAGAATGTGTTAGATGGAAAATGATCTATATGAAATTAGGAATGAGTTGAAGTTGAACCATATTTGAACTGGGAAATTCTAGTTTGTTAATCGCAATCGATCTTCTGATATTGGTTAAAGATCTGGGTTTTCTTTCATATATTGGAAGGACTTTATAGGTTAAAAGTTAGTTTCCATTGATTGAAGGATCCTTTTCGGAGGTTGCAGTAGCTTGTGTCCAAAAGCATGACATTATATGTCTAAATTTAATTTAAGTGAAGTTTCACTAAAACATGAGCGACAGCCTTTTTTTCCAAGATGATGGAGAAGAAAACTTTGGTTTTCCCAAGTGGAAGTTTTCATTGCCAAATATTAAGCATTTCCATCCTTCTTCCTAAAATTTGACGTATTAAATGTTTGTGTCTTGCTGACATTTCTGTTGGTCTTAAACAGAGAACTTGGGAAAGGTCAAAATTGGCAACCACCTTGGATCATCTAGGTATGTTTGCTACTTGAATTCCATTTAATTTTATGGTGATTCAAAAAATTTTAGAGGAAAGGTCCAAGTGTGTGCTCAAATCATTTGGTTCTTTATTTAATCATATTACTGTCTATGAGCTAGAGTTGATTAGATTGTTTGACAACTGGATGGCGTAATGTAAGAGCATGAATTTAGGTTTTTGTAGAAAACTTAAAGAACAATTGTCCTTATTTCTTCTTATTCAATCTACAATGAAGGAGTACATCTAAATAAATAGGAACAGTGAAGTTCCTTATTAGGAAACAACTTACATGAAATAGAAAATAAAAAATAATAAAAGGAAGGAAAATTATTCTATTCTAGAATATAAACAAATCCCTAAAAACTTGACAATCAGAATAGTTGACTAAATCAGAAGAGTAAATGAGAAAAATTCCTAAAATAAATTAGGAAATCAAGCTACACTATTGTAGGAGAATTGAATCTACACTAATGTAGGAGAATCAGATTTCTACACTCCCCCTTAAGCTGGGTTACGAACGTTAATCATACTCAGCTTGGATTTCAAATCATCAAAAACGCTTCTAGGAAGAGCTTTAGTTAGAATATCTGCAATTTGTGAACTTGTAGGGATAAAGGCCAATTTGACTGACCCATTTTCTATCTTTTCCTTTATGAAATGTCTGTCCAGCTCTATGTGCTTGGTCCTATCATGATAAACATGAATTTTGGCAATACTTACAGTAGCCTTATTGTCACAAAACAGTGTCATAGATGTCACAGTTTGAACTTTTAATTCTCCAAGTAACCTCATCAGCCAAATTCCTTCACAAATTCCATGGGACATTGCTCTAAACTCAGCCTCAGCACTGCTCCTAGATACAATGGCTTGCTTTTTACTTTTCCAAGTGACCAAATTTCTCCAAACATAAGTGCAATAACCAGTAGTGGACCTTTTATCTGTTACTGATCCAACCCAGTTAGCATTTGTGTGCACCTTGACTGCCCTATCCATTGACTTCTTAAAATATAGACCTTCGCCAGGACTCTTCTTTAAGTACTATAGGATGCAATGAACATTCTTAAGATGCTTCTTGGTTGGATTGTTCATGTATCTACTCACCATCCTTATTGCAAACCCGATATTAGGTCGTGTGTGGGAGAGGTAAATAAGCTTCCCAACTCGTCTTTGGTAGCCCTTTGTCAGTGAGAGAGCTTCCATTTTCACTTCCAATTTTATTAGTTCAGTCCATGGGTGTATCGGCAAGTTTGCATCCAATCATGCCGGTTCTTTCGGTAGATCAAGTACATACTTACGTTGAGACATTGATATTCTATTCTTAGACCGAGCTACTTCCATCCCAGGAAAATATTTAAGGAACCCCAAGTCCTTTATTTCAAACTCCTTTGCAAGGAGTTTCTTCAAATCATCTATTCCTTCCTTGTGGTCTCCAGTGATTGTGACATCATCCACATAAACAATAAGAATAACTCTTTTTCCTTCATTAGTGAACTTAACGAACACAGTATGGTCAGATTGACATTGAAAGAATCCATACCTCTTCATTGCCTTGGTCAACCGTTCAAACCAAGCCCAAAGAGACTGTTTAAGTCCGTACAAAGATTTTTAGAGTTTGCACACTTTGCCCACGTTGTCTTGCCTTTCGAAACCAGGAGGAATTTCCATGTAGACATCCTCCTACAAGTCACCATTTAAGAATGCATTCTTGATATCAAGTTGGTGGAGAGGCCAATCCAAGTTGGCTTCTAGTGACAATAGAACTCTAATTGAATTGAGTTTGGCTACCGAAGCAAATGTCTTCTCATAGTCTATCCCATAGGATTGAGTGAACCCTTTTGCAACAAGTTTAGCTTTGAACCTATTTATACTTCCATTTACATTGTGCTTTATTGTGAAGATCTACTTACATCCAACCGGGTTTTTTCTTTTGGGCAAATCTGAAATTTCTCGTGTTCCATTTTTCTCTAGTGCCTTGATTTCTTCAAGAATTGCTGCCTCCCAATCTGGTTCATTGAAGGCTTCCTAAATATTTTTTGGAATTTGCACATTGTCAAGGTTAGTAGAAAAGGCTCAAAAGTTTGGATTTAACCTATCATATAAAATGTATTTGTAGATAAGTTACCGGGTGCATAATCTCACACCTTTTCTTAATGCAATAGGAATGTCAAGGTCACCAGCTGGCTCACAAGTTTCTGTTTCATATCCAATAGGGACATCACTTGTGTTGGTTTCAGGTTCTTGGAGACTCGGATTAGGTCAATTTTTAGTGTTGGGCTGTGTACAGTTGTCCACTTCTTCTTGTGGTTTTTGCTTCCTTGAATAGATTATCAGTTCTTTTGCTTTTTTCTTGCATAACCTTAGGGTTTGTAGAGTCAAGAGTTGTCTAAACATGTTGGGGTTCGAAATCTACATGGCTGATAGGTTGGGTAGGTTGAGAATCTGGTTTTGAAGGGCTGTTTGAGGTTCTAGTTTTGAAGGGGCTGGGTGGGAATCTGGTTTTGAAGGGGTTGGTTGGGAAATTGGCAAGTCAACAGCTAAGAATTGATATTCCTAAGTAGTATTCTCCCCCTGAATATCATTCTTGCTGTAGTTTGGAAGATTCTCAAAGAAGGTGACATCCATAGAGCTATAAAAATTTTTTGTGATGAGTGAGTAACACCTATAGCCCTTTTGGTTTGGGGAATAACCAAGGAATATGCATTTTAAGGCTTTGGGATCAAGCGTGCTACGGTTTTGTTGGCTAACATGAGCAACGGCAATGCAGCCAAAGAGTTTGATGGGAATGGAAGAGTTCAACCGAGTTTGTGGGTAGGAAGTAAGGAGAGTTTGACAAGGTGTTTTAAAGTCAAGAACTCGAGAAGGCATTCGGTTAACCAAATAGGTTGCAATGAGGATAGCTTCTCCCCAAAAATATTTAGGCACATTGGAAGTCAACAAGAAGGGATCTGGTCACTTTTATCAAATGTCTGTTTTTGCATTTGGTAACCCCATTTGTTGCGGAGTATCAACGCAAGAGCTTTGATGGATGATGCCATGATTGCTGAGGTAAGGGCCAAGCACAAAGTTGAAGTATTCCCTTCCATTGTCAGTTTTTAGGACTTAGATTTTGGCTTGGAATTGGGTTTGTACGATGCTATTGAAGTTTAGAAAGATTTAGCTAACCTTGGATTTTTATTTCATAAGGAATACCCAAGTGAGTCGAGTATGATCATCGATGAATGTAATAAACCACCTAGAACCTAAAATATTTTTAACTCTTAACGGTCCCCAAATGTTACTGTGAATTATTGAGAAAGGTTGAGGTGATTTATAGGAAAGGCTAGGGTAAGTATTTTGAGTGTACTCAGAAAGTTGACAAATTTCACAATAAAAATCTTTAGAGATGTTATTGAATAATGAAGGAAATAGCCTTTTATGTATGAAATATTTGGATGTCCTAATCTATAATGCCATAACATGATAACGTCATCCTTACTAATACTAGAAGCTAAGGCTATACAAGAGTTTTGTGGTCTCTCAAGCGCATCATCTTGAAAAAGGTAGAGCCCTGCACACATCCTAGCATTGGCAATAATCTTCCTTGAGCCCAATTCCTAAAATTTACACAAGCTCAGAAAAAATTTAGTGACATAACATCTATCCTTCGTAAGCTTATTGATGTAAAGTAGGTTAACAACTTAAATTAAGGATGCGGAGGATAGAGTCAAATGTTATGTCTTTCGAAACTACAAGAGAACCTATTCTTGCCACCTTTGAGAGAGAGCCATCGGCAATTTTTACAGCAGAACTATGATAGCAAGGTCTATATGTGTTGAGTAATGATGCATTTCAAGTTGTGTGATCTAATGCTCTTGAATCAACAATTCAAGATTGTGTATTTCTCCGTTGAACAATTAAGGCGTTTTGGAAATTACCTTTCTATGCTAGTAAACTAGTTCCAAAGGTTTCAGACTTGTTTTGAAGGGTTTGTTGGAGCATCACCTCTTTGTGACTTTCCTCATGCCATACCTCTGCGGAAGAAGAGTTCTTACTCCTGCTAGCCATAATGGAAACTTGTGTGGTTACAGTCTAATGGTTTAGGCTAATTTGCTCGATACCATTTAAAAAACTTAAAGAACAATTGTCCTTATTTCTTCTTATTCAATCTACAATGAATGAGTACATCTAAATAAATAGGAACAGTGAAGTTCCTTATTAGGAAACAACTTACATGAAACAAAAAATAATAAATAATAAAAGGAAGGAAAGCTAGTCTATTCTAAAATAGAAACAAATCCTCCCTAAAAACTTGACAATTAGAATAGTTGACTAAATCAAAAGAGTAAATGAGAAATATTCCAAAAATAAATTAGGAAATCAAGTTGCACTAATGTAGAGAATTTTATCTAACTAGCATAGGAGAATCTCAGATTTACTGTTTTAGTGTCATGATGATGACTGAAATTTTCATCTTGGTTTTGTTTGCTTATCACACATCCTATATTAATAAAAATTGATAATTTTTTTGCGGTAGAAGCATGAAAATTTGATTGTTATAGCAATTGAATCATTGCAGTATCCTTATTTAGTAGTTATTATACTTAGACGAGGTTACGAACAAATTATAGAGCATAAAAAATGAGGATTACTCTTTCTTCTGCTTGGCGCATTTTAGTGTATATTCGAATCTTTTATTCCTGAACTAGTTTCTATTACCTTTGACACTGTCATAGCGTTGACATAAAATTTTGTTTTTTGTTGTGCAGATAGAAAGATTGCAGAATCATGTGCGGATTGTTCTGATGTGATAATGACATCAGAGTCTTCTCGAAATGGTGGGAGCCATGTTTATCATCATGTTTATTTTGCTAATTTTCATTCTATATTTTGCTGACATGGTGGATCCGTTCTTTGGTAACTTTTAGGCACTGAAAGATGTTATGAAGCACTTGAAAAGCTAGAGAAGAAGTATGACATTGTTGTGAATATTCAGGGGGATGAACCTCTTATTGAGCCTGAGATAATAGATGGAATTGTTAAAGCTCTGCAGGTTTGTTATTCTGAATTTCATGAAGTAGGTTGGTCAATATCAGTTCTATTGCATTAAAGTTAAGGTTGATATCCGCAGTTTTTTTTTTTTTTTTTCTGTGATATATCTTGTTCCTTGTATAAGTGCTTGTTGTTTTATGTGGTATCAAAATGGCCTATTTGTGTTGCAGGCAGCACCAGATGCAGTGTTTAGCACTGCTGTCACCTCTTTGAAACCTGAAGATGCTTTTGATCCAAATAGAGTGAAATGTGTGGTAGATAATCGTGGCTATGCTATTTATTTCTCTAGAGGACTGATTCCATTTAACAAGTAAGATTATGCATCTCTATGCGTTTGTGCATCAGTATTTTAAGTGTTACATCTTTTGTTTTAATTGCATTTGCATTTTGCACTAATGTATTTGTCGACTGAATTGATATAGATCAGCGAAAGTCAATCCACAGTTTCCATACTTGCTTCATCTTGGAATTCAGGTCTCAGGATTAAATTTTGCTATTGTTTAAAATTAAAAATAAATCTATTTTTCCTTTGTTTCTTCAATTGATTGATGCTACTGAATTTTATGTCTGAACAGAGCTATGATTCAGAGTTTCTAAAAATATATCCAAAGCTTCAGCCTACTCCACTGCAACTTGAAGAAGATCTAGAACAGCTTAAAGTCCTTGAGAATGGCTATAAGATGAAGGTATGGTAAAAATCATATACCATTGTCTAATCCTTCTGCCGGTAAGACAATTATACTAAACCCTGTCTACCACTTTGCATGAATGTAATCATTGTGTTCTTTATCACATTTAGACCATCGTTTTCACTTTATGACACTTGAGAGATGATAACATGTCATGTGCTGTTAAAACTTTGAAATTCACTTGTCTTAATCCCGTAGTTTCATATTACTTACCAAATATAACCTGGTGTCATAAGCAAGCATTCACATGGCAAAAGGCCATAGGCTAAATCTCTCATTATGTCACTGATATTCATGATGGAGCTGCCCTCACATAGCAGAAGATTGCTCCATCAAATATGAATGTGGGGTGAGTTGATCTTCTAAAGACATCAGAAGTCAGAACACCCTTTCTGAAATTTGCAGCAAAATCAACTAATATTTTACCTCATGCAAAAGTACATTATCTTTGATTATCCAGATTGAAGAAAATTGATTCATGTAGCCGGTGGAAGCAATTGGCATTTAAGCTGTAATTGAAGTGATTTGAACTAATATTGGATAGTATATAGTGCGTCTTTCTGGGTATTAAATACCAAAATTTTGTATTAAAAGATAAATAGATAAGCTGGTAATAAATTTGGATGATCATGTTAATTCACACCTGTTTTTCCGCAGGTCATAAAGGTTGATCACGAGGCTCATGGAGTTGACACACTTGCAGATGTGGAGAAGATCGAATCTCTAATGCGCGAGAGAAACTTGTCTTAGTTCAAAGAGAACTCAAATCAGACATTTATAATTGAATCTCTTATGGAATAGGTTATATCATTATATGTTTTTTTACTTACATTATTTAGGAAAGAATTACTTACATTATTTAGGAAAGAAAGGAAGAATGACCACCATAAAATTCCTTGTAGCACTCTTTGTTGGTGAAGATATGATAGACCTGTCACTTAATCTTACACGTCTTCTAGCACCATTTTTTTCTTTTATTAAAGCACATATCCAAATACTAAGTCAAAGCAGCAACATGCAGTCAAAGCTGAATAACTAAAACTTGTATAAAAGAAAAAGTTGTAACCTGGGGTGGTCAACTTTCTACTGAGGTAAAGTAACAGTTTTTAGAATTTATACAACAGATAAAGTGAGAAACCCAATTAGATTCATAGGCAATTATTGCCAGTCAAAGCAACAGCAAAGAAATCAAAGAAGCAGGGTTAATGAAAATCAGAAAATGTGCTCAAAGTAATGGAAATCCAAACATCAAAAAGTACAAAACCAAGTAGAAGTATGAGCAACCATGATCTACAAAACCTACCATAGTAATCAGGCACCTTTCTCATCCTTTTCCTCTTGAAGCAGCTTGCATATCTCCTCCTTAGCCTTCAAAATGGCGCCAATTCCACCTAGGCCCTTACAAAACATCGAACCTTCGAGATAATCTTTAGTAGCTACCACAAATTGAATATCCCGAGTTCTACACTGTTGAAGAACTCGCTCAAGCACCAACTCCTTTCTAATAACAACAAATTTCCCGCGAATATCAAGCTCCTTTCCCTGCTTCTTGTACTCCATTTTTCTGGCCCCTGTGGTTATATCTTGTAACTCAAACGCTACTAGATCTAACTCATTCCATAAGAATACAACACGTAAGCAATTCAACTCCAATAGTTTCATAATTGATTCGATGTCTACCACACACCTATCATCCTTATGTGCTATGAGTTCAAGATATTCTTTTAGAATTCTCTTTTGAATAACTATACCAACATTCCCTAAGATATCAACTGACTGATTGAGAGCTTCGCTAAAGGAATATGGCCTCCATAAACTATACTGCATTCTTTCAAAAGGTTCTTAAAAATTTTAGATCCAAAAATTTTCAATAGCTTTCTCCTGTCAGGCAACATTTTCAAACACTCCATTAAGGCAAAGTCAATATCGAAAGGCGAACCAAAAATCAGCCAAGTACATCCCATAAGAGCCTCGATAAGCCAAAAGTTTTCCAAGAAAGTATGAGCTAAATACTCAAACTGCCTATGACTTCCTTGCATTAATATTCTTTCACTAAGATGAATATCAGGAAGAACGTTCGCAACATTACCAGAAACTGTAATCAGACCCATTAGCTTCCATCCTGCCAGAAAAAACCCAAATTTATCTTCAGAATCTAAAAGGTCTTGAAGAAACTTAGTCTTGAACTCTTTTTGAACAATGTAATCCAATTTCAAACCAAGGGACATAGGAAAAGGAAACTGGCTTCTCTAAAGTTTTTCTTAATGAAGGCTCGGTTGTTGGGATTCCTGTGATGAAAGAAAAGAAAAATGGTAAGCGTGTTAGCTTTGTAAATATTGTTGAAGTGTTTGGAGATTAAGTCAAAGAAGTATTTGTTGGGATTTGACTTGAAACTCATAATTCCACATCAAAAGTTGAGTAAAGTTATAAGAGTTGAGAGCTTGTCTTTTATCCCACATTGGGAATTTAGTAAAGTTGTAAGGGGTTTCACTTTTATAAATAAGATATTTTGGTTTTAATTTGATAGTCCCATATAATTAGACATCAAGAGAATAGTTAGGTGAATAAGCTATTAAAATTGTGTAATTGAGTTTTTTGTTAAGTTTTGAGTAAGGAGTTGAGTTTTTGATTAAGTATTGAGTAAGGAGTTTTTGGAGATTTTTCTCATTTTAAAAGTCTCATAATTTATTAGTGAATTAAGTTTGGAGTAGGTATTTTGAATTAGGTCCAAACAAGTATATTTTTATATTTTTATTCTTGATTTGAGCTTACTATTTTATGTGTGGGTGTTGCGTGTAGGTCGAAACAAATATATTTTTATATTTTTATTTTTGATTTGAATTTGTTATTTTGCGTGTGCGTGTTGTGTTGTGTGTGCGTGTTGATTTCTCAATTATTTTTTAACAGAAGCTCATTTGGATTAAGTGACCCCTCAATTTTTTATTTCCCGATGATTTCCTAACAGAAGCTCATTTGGATTAAGTAGCCCCTCAATTTTTTTCAACAATTCTAAAGTATGAGAAAAAGAATTTCTACTTCTTTCCTTTGTTATCAATTTCTACTTCTTTCCTTTGTTATCATATCCAACCTGTTCTCCAAACTATTGATCACATATTTTTTTATCTTCATAAGGGATTGACAATGAAATCAAAGTTAAGGTAGAAGAACTGTAGTGCTTCAATTTTTTTATAAGAAGTTGGAGCTCAAGAAAATGCATCGTATATGAAGAAAGAAAGAAAAGACATATATAAAGAAAGAAAAAAGAAAAAAAATATAAATATAAAGAAAGAAAGAAAAGACAAGATTATAAAACTACTAAAATAAAACGAAAGAGAAAAAGAAAATAAAAATTACTTGAAATCTTTAGTTGCCAAGAAGATGTCACAGAATAACTGTAACTATACTGAAGAAGGAAAGAACAAAGAACAGAAGAGACAAAAATAGACCAGAGAAATGTGAATAAAGAGAATAGCGCAGAAGAAGAGAGAATGGTGAAAATAGAAGCAGAAAGCTTTAATTTCATTCATGATGCTCGTTTACAATATATATGCCTTCCTTTCAATATATTAAAGCCAACATGTGATATATATATATATATATATATATATCTATTTATATATAAGCCAACAGATGCTAAGATCTATGCAATATATTAAAGCTACCCTTTTTTGTTTTAATTTAAAACTAGTCATTAAAAAATATTGTAAGTAATTTTGGAAAAAAAATTGTGATAAGTGAGAATGGTTTTTGTTTAGCTAGAGAGAGGGACTATTTGCACCACAAAAAAACTCGCAATACATCCCAAAAAATTAACCAATAAAAAAATTACTTAAATATCCATTAGTTAATTATTTTTTTTAACATTTACACCCCTTCTCAGTAAATTATGGAAAATGAATTTTTGAAAACTTCTCTAATGTATTGAAAATTTATTTCGAAAACTTCTTAATTATATCGAAAATTCATTTATGGAAAGTATTGCAGTTATCTAGAAATACATTTTTAGAAAGCATTGCAATTATCCATAAATGTATTTTTGGAAGTAATTTTTTATTTCAGTTTCTTTATTACGATTTCTTAACCAATGTTTACCATGAAAATATTGAATGTCCCTTGCTATGATCTCCAAACAAGTCTATAATGATTTTTTCAATGTATGCGATGTTTAAATTCAATAGTAAAAATCTCTAATATTTTGGCTAAGCATTGTCTGGTTAATAACGTTTGAAATATTTTATCAATTCAAACAAACATGCATTTAAAAGGAATTGCTAATTGAAAAGAGCATTCGTGAAAATGGCTATTGCACTATGTGCGGTGAGGTAGTCACACTCCATCGCACATGGGGCAATAGCCAATTTGCATGAGTGCCTCTTCATACTTAGCAATTCCTTTCAAATGCACATCCATTTAAATTGTAAAATATTACAAATGTTATTAAACGGACAGTGCCTGATGGCCGAAAGATTAGAGGTGTCTATTAGTGGATTTGCAGTTTGCTGATGACATATTAGGTCAATTCTTATGTATTGGAAAGTTGTTTGGTCTTTATTGGTGATCGAAAGTTATTGTATACTGAAAATCCATTTCTAAAAGTTTTTTAAGGATTCTAAAAATGAATGTCTAGAAACCATTGAGAAATTTTGAAAATATATTTTCCAAAATTCTTAAAGGTTTCTGAAAGTGAATATCTGAAAACTTTTGAGGGATTCCGGAATGAATTTTTATTATGTTGAAGAAGTTTTCAGACATTGATTTTTCATAAACCTTCAACAATTTCAAGACATTCATTTAACGAATGCTAGAATCGCCGCCCTAAATCGCATCTCTAAATATAAAATCCTAAATCTTTTAGAACTAAATAAAAAATCAAATGAAAAACTAGAAAAAAAAAAAACAAACGATTACTTATGACACTAAGCTATTGAACATCAAAAGGTGATTAGGGCTTGATTTGGGGCTTAATCTCTTAAGGGTTTAGGGCTTTCAATGAAGAAGAAGAGAGGGAGTGTGGGGTGTTTGGATTTTTTAGTAAATTAATATTTTGGTTTGGGGAAGGAATTAGTGTTAATAATAGTGGGGTGTGAAGAGAAGTAGTGAAAGTGTAAATAGTCCCTCTCAGTTTCGTATTAAGCCTTTATTTAAATAATTATAGACAATGAACAAGGAGAAGGGAACAACACAAAAGTAAAAAGAAACTTAGGAACAGTTATAGACAATGACCCCAGCTTTTGCCCCAAATTTTGGGTATTCTTCTTTTTGTTTTTCTTATTTAATTTTTTATTATATATTTATTTACTTATTTATTTATTAGAAAAATACTTTAATTATTTGATAATAAAAAAAAATAAAAGAACAAAAAATGATTTTATAAATTTGTAAATTTGATTTTTTTATTTAAATAAAAAATTTCACTCTCACAACAACATATAGACAAAAAATTTTAAAAAAAATTAATTAAATTAATTTTCATAAGCAATTGAAATAAAGATCTTTGTGTTACTTTCATAATTAACTAGCATCTTTATTACACTTCTGCAGCGAAACACTAGTAATTATCTAGTACTTACCATTAAACTTAAACCTATTTGTTTTAAAGTTGTTAATTTTTGACACATTATTGATTTTCTTTTAATTGAGCTATCAATTTAATGCCATTCGTTATTATCCCAATGCCATCTTATAAAAGTTAAACCTATTAGATCTATTGTTTTTGTACTATTATTTATTAGAGAAATTATCAAATAAACTTACAGTGATAATTTTTAATTTCACAAATGAGGTTAAGATATAACATATGTCCCCTAGTGTATATTTAAAAAAATAAAAAATTAATTTAAAAAATAAAACATTTGTCATCATCTTAATCTCGTTTATAGAATTAAAAAACTCTCCTTTTAGTATATTAAATAATTTTTCTATCTATTATTGTTCATTCAGTTTTCAATTCCAAAAAGATTTAAGGTTTGGCTTTTTTTAGTGTATCTACAAAAATTAAATTTAAATTAATATATTATTTTTCAATTGAGATATTAATTGGTTGCCATTTGACTGCCAATCAAGCCCTCTTTGGAGTTTTGTTTTTCTTTTTTCTTAAGGAAATCACAAAACAATCAAACATAAAATATTACAAATTTTCAAGAAATAAAAAAAAAAACTATACACTTAATCAAATATGCAAAGAATTACATTGACTTAATCAATGCAATAAATGTCAATCAACTATTAATTTTATAAAAATAAAAATATAATTATATTAATTATTTACAGTGTAAATGTTAAAATTAATTTTAATTTTATGTAATATTTTATTTCAATATAATATATATTTTATTAGAAATATTTTATTTCATACTATTATTTATAATTTCAAAAACAAATAAATGAAAGTATGAAAATAATATACTAAATTAAATTAAATAAGATTAGATAATGCATTTAAAATATCTACCTATTTTATGGGTAATATATTTTTTACAAGAAATAATATAATGCATGAAAATTATATTCATACTTAATTTTATTTTTTAAGTATAATATTTAAAGGACGGAGATAAAAAAAAAAAAACCTCTTTGATATGAATATACATATTTGTCATTAAATAAAATATTTAAGTACTATTTTTTTGAGATGTTAATTAATTATATCAATTAAAGTATGTAAAATATATATATACATATATACATATTTTTAAAAATTAAAAATCGTATAACTAACTAGAACTTTTTATCCCCAAGCGAAGCCGGGCAAAAATTTCTAGTATTAATAATAGTAGTATCCTCAATTTTTGAACTTGATTTGTCATTTGTATATCATTAACCATCATATATAAGATCAAAATATCTCAATGCAAAAAAATTGGAGTATCTTTTCTTTGTACTCTGTTCCAAAATCAATTCTTATTTAAGTTTTCAAATTGGAGTAGAAATCATACAACCAATCAGATTATTAAGAAGTAAAACAAAATTTTAGTCCGAGATTGACTAATATAGCGGAAATAAATGGTTTTCCAAATCCTAGTCCAAATTGAATTGCTCTAGGGTTACACACACACACACACACATATATATATATGCACACCTTACAATTCATAATTCGTCCAACACAAACAGGCAAGAGCCAGCGATCACGAAACGGTGCAGCAGGAAAGAGTCATGGAGAAGCACGTTCCATTGGATTTAATTAACGACATACTCAGCCGATTACCGGTGAAGAGCCTGCTTCGCTTCAAGTGTGTATCCCGAGGATGGTGTTTTCTAATAAACGATCAAAATTTCATCAAACTCCATCTCAAACGATCCACCCAAAGCAACAGTCACAGCAGCCTTGTAATTGTCCAATATACTAAACTTAGTTTGGTGGATTTGAGTTCGTTACTTGTCGTGGAGGAAGTCGCCGATGATTCTTTGAGGCAATTATTCAGAGGCTCCATTAAAGTGCTGGGCATATGCAACGGCTTGCTTTGCTTGTCCAATTCGGCTTATAATCGTAATATTTTGTGGAACATGTCTACCAGGGAGCACCTGACTTTGCCCCCTGTGCCTGAAAATTTCCTCCTTTATCCTACTCCTGAAACTATGAAATTGTTCGGATTGGGATATGACCCCATCGACGATGATTATAAGGTAATTTTTGTTTCTCAAACTTACCAATCGAAACATAAGGGAATTTTTTATAGTCTAAGATCGAAATCATGGGGAAAGATTCACGATTACAGTAATTGGATTTATTGTGGTTCCGGTAGTGGAGTGTATGCAAGTGGTGCTTTACACTGGCTTGTATCCAGATCGTGGAAAGAAATGATGGAAAACAGCGATGTATTCATTGTAGCAATCAACCTTAATACTCGCAAACAACAGTTTTTTCGTTGTCCTGATCAAGATCCTGATCAAGATCAACATCAAGATCAAGAGTATAAGGCTTGGAACATCCCACCTCATCGATTTGATTTCAAGACTATAGAGGTTTTGGGGGAACAGCTTTGTGCAATGGACCTGAATGGCAACCATAATTTCACAGCGGACATATGGTTGATGAAGAAGTATGGCGTGCAGGAATCCTGGACAAGGCTATTCTCGATTCCATACTTTCATACTGGGTATATATCTAGTTACGCTGGTCTGTTTGTTCATCCCTTAACTTGTTCAAAGAATTGTGACGAAGTTTTAGTAGACGTCGGACATGATCATGCAAGGCTAATATTTTATTACAATCCGAAGAACAAAAGTGTTAGGTATGTTAACATCCCGACGTGTCAAAATAGCTCTTTTGAAGTACAAATTTGTCACGAAAACCTTGTATCATTAACATCTAGAGAGAGGCCGTAAGAGGAAGCTATGAAAACAGACCGCAAGTTAGTCTCCCATGCTGCTGATTACTTTCCTTGCGGATTAGGGGGTAAATTACCTTAATTTTTTCTCAAGTTTTTTTGTCTCATGATTGCACTATAAAAAAAATCTAAATATTCTAATGCTGAAACTTTGTATTTTGCTTAGGCAATCTAGATTTTTCTTTTTCTTTTGTGGATTTTAAGAGTAGAGAACATTCCATATTAAGATATTTTCATAAGATATATATACGCTAGTTTTTTATATGTGCATAATACATGTGCAATTTTCATTTTAAAAAATTCATTTTAATAAATAATTTTTTGATACTATCATAATAATGATGAATTTTTAATAATTTAATTTTGATTTGATATACTATAAGTAAAATTTAATAACTTTTGATATAATTTTTATTTTAATAAAATTTTGGTGACCTTCGATATAATTTTCATAACTTATGATATAATTTTGGTAACTATTGATACAATTTTGATAATTTTTTATAAAATTTTAATAAGCTCTTAATGTTCTATTTGTAATTGTTTAATAATTTATGATATACTTTTAGTAATCATTGATAAATTTTGTATTATTATATATTTAATAATGGATTGTTATAAGAATGGGTGAGTTCAGTTTTAGTATAAGATAATTTTTTTATACAATAATGGTATTATTTCACTGAAATTTAGAATTTTTTCATTAGTTTTTTTTTATTGAATAGATTTATATTAGGTTTATTCTAGTTTTCCAAGATAAAGTTTCTTACTCTATTTCTCATAGTGATGAAAATTCAATTTTTGACAACTTCAAGAATAAAAAAATTATTAATGATTGACAATTAAATTATCATTAATTTACTATTATGTAATTAATAATTTATTACTAATTTAAAAAGTAATATACTTTCAAATTATCAATAATTTATTACTAAATTAACTTTAATTTACTCTTATTTATAAATATTTTACTATTAAGTTATAATTAATTTATTATTAAATTATCGATATTTTTTACTAAATTACTAAAGATTTATTATAAATTTATAATTAATTTATTATTAATTTATCAATGAATAAATTAAAGAGAAAAATGAGTGACTCACCCCCTCTGGCACGTACTTGACCTATATGTACTTGACCTAATTGCTAATTGTTAATAAAGATAAACAAGTAAAAAAAAAGAAAATATATTAAAGAGTAAAGTAAATAAAACAAAAACTAACGGTTTGATCAATAAATTTTTCAATCGTACCTAATAAATTAAAATACAAGTCATTGATGGCTGGGGACGGTGTTCGTTCTTCACCTTCGAAAATTTGGGATTAAGTTCGGCATCACCATCTCTTCTCCTCATAGATAGCATCTCTTTTAAATTTATAATATTTTTTATTTAATTTTATCACAATTTTTCATTAGCTTGAGATGGAAGGATGATGCAATTAGAGTGCGTAAAGTGTTGGTAATTTGTTTGAATTTTAGATTGAATTGAAGAATGTTGTGTTAGATTTTAATGTGGTTTACTCATTATTTGAAATGATTATATTTCAATGGCATAAAAAATTAAATTTTTTTGCTTTAGGTGGGTTTTGACTCTGTTTTTTTTTTTTTTAATTTTTGACTGGATTTGAGCAAATATTAAAGTTCGAATAATTGTGGACATCAATTTGTCCAAAAAAAAAATAAATATGAAATATAAATACAAAATATGAAATACAAGAAAAAAAATATCAAGAAAATAATACAAAATACAAAAAAAAAAAAACAAAAAACAAAAAAAAAATCGAGGATGGCAGTGGTGCCATCCCCGTTACCACTGCCACTATATCTCACCATGCCCTACCTCCCATCACCTAAACCTACCACTACCAGATATGACAAAAAAAAAAATAAAAAAGGCATGGGGCTCATGCTTACACCCCATGCCAAGCCCCATGCCTTTCCCCCCAAACACGAATGGCTGGAGCTCTATAAATAGAGCTCCTAGCGAAGCCAAAAGATAAGGAGAAAAGGGGAAGAGACGCTGCAAAAACAAAAGGAACAAAACACAAAAAAAAATACACAGTCCTCCCCGTAAGGAGGAACCCAGTGCCAAGCTTCCTACATGAAGAAGAAAAAAAAGGGGTCAGCTTAAAAAAAAGGGTCAGAATACAAAAAAAATAGTCTCACCAAAACTTCACTAGCAAATCTAGGGAAGTGGAAACTCTTTTTAGCAACGACGGTCGGTGACCGGTGAAAGGCTGCAGCGACGGCGGAGTAATGGCCGGCCGACCATCTGCGTTTGGTCGAAGAAAAAAAAAAGAGAGAGAAGAAAAGCTTTTTTTGTATGAAAAAAGAAGGAAATGAGTAAAAAAATTTTTTTTTAACTTTTATATAAGCTGTCAATAGACAAAACGACGTCGTTTCAATAAATGCCCAAAACGACGTCATTTTAGCCTCTAAGGATTCGCGCGTCGACCTATGACTCGACCCAAGGTCCGCGCACCTGACTCGACGACCCGTTTCTTCTTCAGCCCTTGACCGATCCATCTGAACTGGACCAAACAGAATCGAAATGTGCTCGAACCGCTGAGCCACCCAGACCTAGTCGAACCGTCGGACTAAACTGTCGAACCGAACCTTACGTTGACTGGGCTGTTGACCAATCCGATTCAGGTAGAAATTTTTTTTTTTTTTTGAATTTTTCTTATTTTTTATATATTATTTTATTAATATTTATGCATATTAAAATATTTATATTTGTTAGATTAAATGATGAAATATGTGGTTAAATTTTGTTAATTTTGTTAATTTTTAAAATAAACTTTAAAAAAAACAAAACAACAAAAAACAAAATAATATAAAAATAAATTTAATAATAATACTAAACTAATAAAAAATGTAGGAAAAAGAAATTTTTATCTGACGATGAGATTCAAACGTATTTTGAGTAGTGATGCCTATGAAATCTCTAGGTGAGAAGATTTTTTTAAAATACTACCAGTGTATTGGAGTATTTATAAAAAATTTTCAATACAATAAAAATTTTCTTTTTTAAAATAAAAAATAAAAATTGATTAATATATTAAAAATATAAGTAATAAAAATGAGAAGAAAAGAAATTTAATCCAATGATAGGATTCTAAAAGTATTCCGAGTAGAGATGCTTTAAGAAATCTTTAGGTGAGAAGATTTTTTGTAAAATATTACTAGCGTATTTGAATATTTATAGAAAATCTTCAATATAATTAAATTCCTTTTTCTTCAAAATTTCAATTTTAAATAAGAATATCAATAAAATAATTAATAAAATTTCTACCAAAAAAGAATAAAATGTGTGCATAAATATGGTAACATTTTGCATTGCATGCATGACATTTTTTTACGAAAAATAAATTCAAGCCTCCGATGATGAGATTCTTAGGTATTCCGAGAAGCAATGCCTAAGAAATCTCTAGGCAAAAAAAAAATTCTTCTAATGTTACCAACGTACTAGAACATTTTAAGAATTATTTCAATAAAAAGGTTTTAATTTATTTTTCTTGAGAATAAATTTTTTTTCTAATAAATAAAAAAACCAAGGAAATTATTTTTTTGAACACTGAAATTTGGACTATTTTTATCAAAATCAAAAGATAACACGTTGTTAATTTGTAACATTTTTTAACGGGCGCTATGGGGATGCTAATCCTTCCCAAGCATAATCGACTCTTGAACCCAGACTGTTTCACAAACCATAAAATTATCTTTTTAATTAATTTTAAAACTTTATTAAAAGGATATGTTTTAGTAGGTGACCAATCGCACCTAGTCAAAAAAGATTGGTGACGACTCCGTTATTTTTTTATTTCGTTTCCAAATTCGTTGGGTGAACACAAAACCATTATGACAATAAATAGATCGGATTGAGTTTAGACAAATATTTGACTTGTTAATAGCATGTTTAGGTTCAGTTCATAAATATGTCTATTTTATATTTATGAGTACGGTTAGGTGCTAATAAGAATCCATTAAAAAATTTTCAATTATTATTCTAGAAAAACTTTTACATTTAATGTGTTACTTTTACTAAATTAAGAAAAAAGTAATGTTTTCTTTGCCTAATGACACTGATTAACAATTTTCTACATTTATATAATTTTCTTTCCTCACACCAAAATTAATTAGTTTTATCCAATATTTTCTTTTAAGCTTCTACACCAAAATTACTACCACCTACCACTGCACTTGTTCATTAAGGATTGCTCTATTTTTACAATAACATTTCGTTTTACTGGATTGCAATGTTTCTTTCACCTAATCAAAGAACCTTCTACAATAATGTAAGACTTATAATATATGTTGAACCTTGAAAAAGATTAAAAAAATACTAATGTAATTTTCTCATATAAAGTGTTTTAGATGATGCTGTGGCACCATTATTACTAAATAATAACTCAAATAATGTTTAACTTATGTTTTCTAAATTAGTATGAGCTATGATACCTCTTTCAAATAAAATATTTGAATTGTTTCCCTCAATTCATATAACAACAACTTGATCAATAAATAAACAATTATAAACTCGTTGATCTAGATTAATATTTTTGCAATACGAATTTTAAAATCTTCAAAAGAATATTTATCTTTTAATCTGTACAAGACTTGGATATGAATTTATGAAATATTTGATAGAACAATGATCTTTGAAATATTTTAACATTATCAATTGATGAATGTTTTGAATGATCGATATGATATGTATGAAAAAGATACTTGATCCGGTAAAGTGTGGAAGCCTATACTTGCTGAGCTGTCGTTTGCTCGTTGTCCATTTTAGTTTCTTTTACAGATGATATAAATAATAAATTTACTTAGTTATGTGAGAAGCTAGAAGATCAATTTGAAAAAACTACTCGAAACATTGTAGACATTGTTGGCTAGTAAGTTCTTATGAAGTAGTTTAGTATTTTTATTAGTTTGCATTTGGAAGTATGAAGATTTCTCGTTAGTTGAATTAAAGTTATGAATTTTCTTGAAACATATTTTTTTTGAAGAATTTTAGAATGATTAAGAAAAAAAGTTACGTATTACTTTGGGGTTTTACTTCAAGGTAATATGGCCATAGTATGTCTCAATCTCGGAGTGTGACAATCCCAAAACCAATAGGGGAGAGAATCCGAACTTTCTGTAGCAGAGATATGGAGGGCTCTGAGATGAATTTGAGTCCGAAGCCATTCTGGGAAACAAGGCCCTAACTTGTAAGAGCGAAGCATCATAACATGCAGATTATGAAATGGAGGAATCCCACCAGAGTTGAATTTTAAAGTCAAAGAAATACCGGATGAGACCAACGCCCGTAACCTGGTGAGATTTGAGAAATGAGCTTCGGAGATGACAACATTATCAAAAGAATTCCAAGCAAGCCGTAAAAGCAACAGCTTCGACAATTGTCCAATGCTTTCGCTTATGGTTCCATTTAAATGGTTGTACCCAAGATCTAGTGCTCTTAAGGATGATAATTTGGCGATTTCATATAGCACAGAACCATTTATCCCACTTTCAAGCTGATTGTCGCTCAGATAAAGATCTTTCAGAGAAACCATGTTCCCAAAATTGGATTCTGGAATTGGGCCTTTCAACTGGTTCATTGACCGATCAAGGACCTTAAGTTTTCTACTAACACTAAACAACCAGGGGTATGTCGCAGAAGAAGTAAGATTGTTTCCAGCCAGATGAAGTGTGGTGACAAATGTAGAAGAGTTGATAAGGGAAATTAGAGATGACTAAGAGACACTTGGAAGATCACAATCGCTTAGGTCCAGATTTCTTAGTAAAGGAAGCTGGTTGACTACTTGAGACCAATCACTAGCCTTAGTTAGGTCTGTGAAACCAAGATAAAGATTTTTTAAAGAAGATAGATGGGAAAGCGGGTCAAGGTCTCCAACACTGAACACTTTTTCAGATTTATGGTGGAAAAAGTGCGTAGAGTACCTTAGACTGAAAACATCACCACCCAGAAAAAGAATCTCCAACATGGAAAGGTTTCCACGCTGAGAAAGAATTGGTCGTCTAAAATTAGCAAAAGAGAGATCCAGGTATGTCAGATTTTTTAAAGAACCAATGAACTCGGGGATGAGACTTCCATTAAAATCATTGTAGCCGAGATCTATGTAACTCAAATGTTGCAGCTTAAGCAATGAAGGACTAATTGTACCTGCTACAAGCCAGTGATAGCCATGAAGTTCAATCCTTTCCACATAGCCTGTGAGCTTGCTGCACCCCACACCCATCCATTCACAACAATCCCTTTTGTCCCATGGAGAGAGGCTGCTATTGACCGACTGATCTACAGGTTGAAGGCTTTGTTTAAATTGGAGAAGCGCTTGTCTGTCACTCTCTTTGCACATCATCACGTCATCAGCTGCTGTGTAATTCTCTGGAAGAAAAAAGACAAAGATAAAACATTGCAATAAACAGAACTAGGAGAAGCCGAGACCTGTCACCTGACACATTAGTCATCATAATCAATAGCAACAGAGAACCGCCTTGAATTAGAAAATGTGAATTGTTTTTTCTTTTAAAGAATGGTGAGAACTAAGCCAATGCTCTCCTTAAATAAAGTTGTCATCCTTGGTTAATTATTATTATTATTATTTTGAGCAATCCTTGGCAATTATTTTGCTGTGGACGATTGCCATAGGAAATATTGACTTTTTTCTTTGGTCATAATTGCATTTTATTAGATTTGATGATTATTATGTGTATTTTGTATCTAAAATGATAAAACATTAAATTTATTTTGTCATAATTTTTATCAACATATCAAATATAATTTTTTTTTGTTTTTATTAAATCAATATATAATTTTTATTAAAATTTTAAATTATATTATTTTCGTATCTTGTTAACATATTATGATTGAAATTATCAAAATTATGTTCTATGATACTATAATAAAAGTAAAACTCTTAAATTTATTTTTGTTTAACCAAAAACAATTTTGAAAATTTGGTCGTAATTGACCATGTCAAAATAGGTGTAATTGTCTCATTCGATTTAAAAAAAGGTTAAATACTCATTTTGCCCATCAATAATATACCTTTTATCAATTTGATATGTTAAAAAAATGAAATTTATAATTTGATACTCTAATTTTTATTTTTTCATTCACTTTGGCATCTCGTAATAATGTTGTAAACCAACCTATTGATATAACATAAACATCAAAAAAAATATTGATATATGTCAAAAGTATAGTTAGTGTTACATCATTAAATTTCACGTCAACATTAAAAAAATCATAAAAATTAAAAAAATATATAAAATTTTATGAAAAATTCATAAAATACGAAATATTTAATAATAAATCCAAAAATTAACAAATTACTGCAATCTCAAAATATTATAAAAATGAAAATTTCTTAAAATTCAATAGAATTGAAAAACAAAAAAAAGAATTTGATAATTTAAAAAATTTTAAAATTTTCTTTAAATTTTTAAAATTTGAAAAATCCAAAAGATATGAAACGTAAAAAAAATCTAAAAACAAGGAATTTTAAAAAATTTTGAAAATTCTAAAATTTTTTTGAAAACTTTGAAAATTTAAATAAAAATTTACTTTAAAATCAAAAAAATTCAAAAAAATAAAAATCTTAAAATTTTTATTAAAAGGTTTTCTTAAAATTAAAAAAAAAAAACCCATATGTGAAAGTTCAAAAAAATAAAATAAAATTTTAAACAATCTTCAGATTTTTTTTACGTTTTTGTGAAATTTTTTGAATTTTAAGTAATATTTATTTTCAATAAAATTCTTATATTTTTTTATCTTTTCAATTTCTCAATTTGTTTGGAATTTTTTTTCGCATTTTTATAAAATTTTCAGATTTTCTGAATTTGTGCAAATTTTCATATTTTTCCATAAAACTATAAATTTTTTATAATTTTTTTTGTCTTTTTAAATATTTTTTAGATTAAAAAAACTTTAGATATTTTAGAATTTTCACATTTTTTAATTTTTTATGGATTTTTATTTTTTCAAAAAATTTTCATTTCTTTAAGAATTTTTTGTTGTTTTTATTAAAATTTATCATATTTTTTTATTTTGTTTAAAATTTTTAGATTCTTCTTGAAAATTTTAGATTTTTTTTAATTTTTAGTTTTTCTTATTCTTTGAAAATTTTTAAAATTTTCAAAAAATTTTTAAAATTTCAAAAAATTTTCAAAATTTTCAAAAAAATTTATATTTATTAAATTTACAAAATTTTAAAATTTTTGAATTTTTAATTTTTTAAAATTTTTTAAAATTTTGAATTTTTCATAATATTATTTATCATTTATTCCTTTTAAGTCTTAGGAATTTTAGAAATTTTCATAAATTTTTAAAATTTTTATTTTAATACTAATGTGACAATTAATGTGTAACATTGATCTAACTCTTTTGACGCATATCAATATTTTATTAGATATTCATATTATATCAATAAGTTAACTGATAGTGTTAGTTTGATATACTAAAATTTAAATACATAATTAAAAATTTTATTCTTTTAGGTATTAAACTAAAAAGAATATATAGTACAGTGACCAAATGTGCATTTAACCCAAAAAATTTATTTCAAAGTATTTGAGGTCGTTAAATCAATATCTCTTATTGGTTTACAATTTTATATGTCCTCAATTAACAAAAACATCTTTGTATTGATATATTCAAGATTATTTGTAACTGCAACAAAAAAAAAATGAAAAGAGTGATTAGTTATACTTTTTCATATTTTAATTTATTTTGTTGAAAATTTTGACATAATAATTTATATTTTTTAATATGAGATTTTTTAAAATTATATAATTTTGAATCTAAAAGGAAACCGACTTATCTAACACGGTATAATCACACTAATTTTCGCGACTCCATTCGCAAACTTTATAAATCAACATTTTTTCCCGTAAACAGATTACCAAAAGTGTCATTGTCACCAATGAGATCTAATTGTCTCGAATAAATAAAGAGGTAATTAGCCGAGAGGACCAACACTAACTAAGCAAAGGGCCTTTTGGCATTTAATTATTTTTTCTCCACGACTATTTTCTTCTTCAATCATTTTGTTTTTATTTATGAAAATATAATTAATTTACCACATGAATAAAGGCAAACTAAATGAGCTTTTTCTTTTAATAAGAAAAAAAGAGAAAGTTAATGTGAAAAATATTTTGCTGAAAGAAGCAAAGTCAGACAAATTTTTTTGTCATTTTCAAATTTTAGTTTATTAATACCAGTTTGAGTTGGAAGGATGTCAGTATAATATTTTATAATTATATAATCAAATATAACATTAAAAATTATAATACTGTAATTAGATAAAGTCTAAGACTATAATACATTACGATAACATATGTGATTTTTTAATAATTAAATGAGAATATTAATAAAATATTTTATATAATATTTTTTGAAAGTTATGAATACAAAATAATTTCTTTTCTAACATTCACCTACAAAATCAACAAGACCAGCTCAGAGAACTTTTTTTTTTCCTGGTCTTTAGCGTTTAAACCAAGGTCCTAATATTTAATTTACAACCACGTCTTGGTTTAGTAATATTTAAACCAAGGACAATAGGTTTTGAAGAATGGATAAGACCGACTACTAATGAATTTTCATATTATAAATTCAAAAGGTGTGAAAATTGGTGACACTTGTTAGAAATTTTCAGAAAGTGGACTACTATTAATTAATATTTTTATAGTTTAATAAAATAAGTTGATAAATTTAATTTTTATATAAGATAAATATGAGAATCTAAATAATTAATTGTGACTATTTATGAGTGGGTTTTGTACATTTTATTAGGTTAGAATGGATTGATAGTTGTGTTGGCATTTGTCCTGGTAAACCTTTGATGGAGAGGTTTCTAGGGTTTTAATAATATTTGGTTAAGGTCTTTTTTTCATTTTTAAGTAACCGAATCTACCTATTGAGAGCCATCAGTAAGAGAAGAGTAAAGAGAAAGACCTAATCTCTTCAAGATCCGATGTTACTTTCACTTATCAACTATGGCTACCTAAATAGGAACGCAACATGATTAATTGGTGTTCTAATATTCAAATATGATTCTTTGGATTTAAAATAATACTTACATATGATATCAAAACCTAATTATGTGATATTAAGACCCAAAATTATGTTTTTAAATTTTATTTTCGCATGAAATTAATTTTTGGGGTAAAATCTTATGTTTGACGCAAACATACTTTTTGATTTTCTTTTCTTGATTTGACATTGGGCTTTTGTTCTTCTCTACAAGATGATTGAAATCATGTATGGAATATCTTTTAATTCATCCTATAAAGAGAGAAATCAAGTTTTAAAAAAAATTTGAGTTCAAGATTTAATTAAAACCTTGATATTTTATGTATTTTAATTTGAATTGGCGCTTAAACATTATTACTCATACCTTATAGAGATCAAATAAAGAATTTAATTTTATAAAAATTTGAATTAAATGATCAAATTTGAGGAAAATTAAACCAAGTGGTACATGGGTTTTTTGAACCGAAAATATTATCTTCAATTCCTTAAGATTCATGCATTTTCAATGTGTTTTGTTGCATGATTGTTTTAGATACATGTGTTAATTGAAGTTTAGTGCATTTAGTTGCATTAAAACACAAAGAAAAAGAATCAAAATTGAAGAAACAAATCAAGAAACAAAAGTGGGTCGTGCATGAGTATTGAACCTGAAAATGTTTTGCTTAATGTAAATTGATTTAAACTGTTTTGATGCAATTTAAAGCATGAGTTTTGTGAATTCTTGTGATAATTAATGTTTAAAGGGTTTAATTGCAACAAAAATCAAATAAATACATGAAAATTTGAAGGAAAAATCTAAACAGACCGGAATGGGTCAAAAATGCTCCAATCAAGTTAGGTTCAACCCAACTCAAGGTTGAAGAAGATCACACACTACACCAAACGAAGCCCATGCACAGAGAGTGATGCATGCGAGGTGTGTGAGCTTGCCTGGTGTCCAATTTTACTCCAGTTTCTTCTATTATTTTTATCAAATTTTTTAATTGCATGAAATATTTATTATTTTATATTTATGCATAATTTAGTAATTATTATATTTTACGCACATATTTTTTGACATTTTATTTCATGATAAAATATTTTGACATGTTGGGAGTCTATTTGAGGTATGATGTATGGGTGCATATGGGTGTGAATTTGATTGTATTGAAAGGGTGTGCATGGGTATGTTTTTGTTTGGGTTGAGAATGCTCCATAGGATTATAAGAGATTGAAAGTGTCTTATGAGTATTGATTGTTGAAAGGTTGATGATTTGATTTGCATGTTTGTAATTCTCTACAACTAGTGGATCTTGTTTCTCATCCATGGACGTAGGTTAGTTAGATTGAACTATGTTAAATTACTATCTCTTGCATGATTAATTGATTATTTGATTTCACTTCCGTTGGTGTGATTGGATTGAGGCCTTTTGGCCCAACAACTCTCACTATG